TCATCATCATCATCATCATCATCATCATCATCATCATCCTCATCATCATCATCATCATCATCATCATCATCATCATCATCAAATAATAACGATAAATAGCATTTGTATCGCGCAAATCCCCGATCGACAGCAAGTTCTTTGTGCTTTACACTTTATTATTACCCCAGCAGACAGGAGAACACTCAGAAACTTTCTCAGTTTCCCGGGAAGCATACAGTGCGAGCAGCTGATTTAGAGCTCAAACACTAACAAACTTACTGTCTGTAGCTATAACAACAACAACAACAGCAGCAACAACAACAACAACATCAACAACAACAACAACAACAACAACAGCAGCAGTAGTAACAACAATATATAATAACAACAACAACACCAAGCAAGGGGATTGAATTAATGAGTGAAACGATACACTTTTCGGCTAATATGAAATATGACTCCATGTCGGTATTTTCCATATTAACTCTGTTTGCCATTTTATTAATTACTGATAATAATGATAAGATGTGACAACCAGGGAGTGAGTTATGATTTATCGCATAGTACTAGAGTTATGACAGCGATGTCCTCCCACGTAAACGAACGGGGGCTGCGTGTGCCCACTCTGAGACGCTGAACCTCAAGGGCAAGACCTGGGAAGTTCAACAGAATGGGTGAGTATGTTTGAGACTCGCGTGGAGGCGTCTCGGTGGTCTTGGGAGGAACTCTACTAGCTTATGTACTAAAATATGGGGAGAGGGTGGTGTTTAATGTACTAGAGCTCATGGGGAGCGGGATGGGGGCTCAGATTGTTAATGTGAAGCCGGCCATGCCGGTGAGGGTAAGAAGATTGACATGTCTGACACGTATGACGTCACTGTTGTGAGCTCTAGTATTAAGTAATAATAATATATTATTACCTCTTTGATTCTTCGTAATTTGATGTTGCTGAAAGACTTACTCCTCATTCAAATTTCTCTTGGATCACCTTAACTTGCTACTTTTTCTTATAAAAATTGGATTATGGGTATCGAAAAGTACGAAATAAAATAAAATAAAATTCCACGTTTATTCATACCAATGGGGAAATTTGGTTTAGAATCGTATAACATATACTAAACATACACAAAAACAATATACAAGTGCTTAAGTACGTTACGTACATACACAAACACATATACCTATAGATATATACATACAGAAGTATACCAATCTTCTACAAACTACTCGTAGAAACACGGAAAGCTGGTTTCTTCTGGGCAGCGCCCCGTTTTTGTTTTTGTTTAGCTAGGGTTATCTTGCCTTGCTCAAGGACTCACCCCAGTGACCATCGATCTAAACCTCGTATCACCAACATCTCTTGACATTACGTATGAGTGAGAACTCACTAACCACCCTGCTATCGGTACTATGTTTCTTGGTGAGTTAGTGGCTGATAGAATGACACCACTGGTCATGTGGTCCTATTTTTTCTGCCCTTCTGTTTTTTCTCTGTCTGTCTATATTTTTTTGGTGTCCCTCACCACATGAACGATACAGAGACGTTGTGCCGGTTCTTACACCAAACAAATTATCACAGACCATCTCCAAACAAGTCAACGCCCGTTGGTGGTTGGCGGGTGCTCTGGTGTGGTTTGCTTCTTCTATCCTATCAAACATCTATGGTCCTTATCTCCCCTTCTTCTTTTTATGTTTGTTACTCTCCTGTAACACCTCTAATCTTCTGGCGCTCATTATGCAATAGCGAGCGCCGTAAAACCTCTACTAAAACTAAACTAAGTCAACGCCCCCGCTCACGATTCTTGCCAACTTTAACTTTAAGTCTTTCTTGTGGATGGCTGGCGATTGCTCTGGTGTGGGTGGATGAAGGGTATCCTGGTGTTGTTTGCTCCTTTTTTCTTATCAAATTTCTATCGTCTCTATCTCTCCTCCTTCTTTTTGTGTTTGTAACCCTCTTGTAACACCTCTAAAAACTCCGGCCCTTATCTGACCTGATTGTAGTAAGAGTTTTTTTTAAAGTTTCGAGCGCCGTAAAACTCTTACTAAAACAGACAAACAAACCCCCCCCCCCCACGATTATTATTAAAACATAGACATATGTGGTTGATGGGTGCTCTGGTGTGGTTTGCTCCTTTTTAATATCAAACATCTATCATTCTGATCTCTCCTCTTTCTTTTTTGTGTTTGTTACTCTCTTGTAACACTCCTAATCTTCGGCACTTATATAACCGTATTGTGTTGCTAGTGCCGTAAAACTCTTACTAAAACTAAAATTAAAACATAAACACACAGCCCATACAATGCCTCCGCCTCCTCCTCCTCCTCTTCCTCCTCCTCCTCCTCCTCACCTGGTCAGCTGATGTACGCAGACGTAGTAAGGGTCCGCATAGAGGCCGTGGGGGGACTGGCTAATGTTGAGTAGCGCCCCTTGGTCTGGTTCCGGTTCCGGGGGGAGGTAAGTCTCCTCCTGCTCGCTGCTCACGCTCATCTTGACGTGACCTCGGATAATGGGCAGGACAGCTGGGGGGTGGGAGGGAGGGAGGGAGGGAGGGAGAGAAAGACGAATGGTGAAAATGGTGAAATGGTATGGGATTAACGCCCCTATCAACACCCGATCAACACCCTATCAAACGGGGCCTCCTTGTTTAACGTTTGTTTCCGAAAGGACCGAGCGAAGTGGGAAATTCGTGTAAAGTGTCTTTCCCAAGGACACGAAGCCGGACTGAGCTGAGGCTCGAATACCCAAACCCGCAATCTCACGATTACGAGTCCGGTAGCCTAACCACTCGACTACCGACGCCACTGTGACAAATGGGGAGGGG